TGTTGGATGTGCAGGAAGAGTTCCAGTTGGCATTATTCGAGAATAGAAAAAAAGAAGACCTTCTTGCAAATCGGGTATGGTATTTCATTTGTATAATTATCGTAGATTTGGTTTTGTTCTACATAATGCTATTAGTTCATTCTGAACCTATGTTGTCGGGCGCGTATTGGATCCTCCAAAAGTAGTGTATTTTTGGAGATCCGATATGGGTGCAACATCATTTTGGAGAGTTCGTGCAACATAGCTGAGAACTGGAGCATGTTATATAAGAATTGCTCAAGTAAACATACCATTGGGGTTCCTGTGTCAAAGAACACATATAAGTGGTTCGCCAAAATATGGATGTTTAACTTGTGGAATGCATTGAGTTTATGTTGCGGACTCTCCAAAATGATGCAGCACTCGTGTTGCATCCTCCAAAAATACATACTTTTGGAGAATCCGACACGCACTCGGCAACTTCTTTGGAGAGTCCGAGCAACATAGCATTGAGGTGGCAAGCATGCTAATATTATATATTTACTTATCTTTATTGCCTTGGTGGGATATTAATTTCGTCTAGGAACTTTCCCTTGCAGATTTTTGATCTATTTGATCTAAAGCAAAGAGGAGTCGTCGATTTTGAGGATTTTGTTAGGGTAATGAATGTATTCCACCCAAATGCCCCCCAGGAAGATAAAATCACTTGTAAGTAAAAGAAAAAATGATATAGCTATGTGCTTCTTATTAATTGTTTCTAGTTTAATGATTAATTGGACGCGGACAGTCACACGGAACTCCATCTTTTGTGCTATTGCAGTTTCATTTAAGCTTTATGATCTGGACGGCTCAGGGTATATTGAACGGCAAGAGGTATGATATTTTGTTTCTCTTTCATGTTATGTTGAGAGTCACCTGTGTGGTTCTTGTTGTGTTTTCTTTATTGTAGCCTTCATTATTTTGTGGTTTTACATAGGTTAAACAAATGTTGATTGCACTTCTACGCGAGTCTGAGATGAAGTTGGCTGACGAAACCATTGAGATAATACTTGATAAGGTAATTTTACTTGTGATGGTCCACGAAATTTCGTGATCAGACGAGATTGTTATGTTTGAAAAGAAGCGCCGAGATTGAAAGACCTATGCATTTTGTGTCAACTTTGCATTAAGATGACCTTTTTACTTGCTTTTTTTCCGGAAATTTTGGCCCTAAGGGTAGTCTCAACGAACATTGAATAATTAGTGATTTTATTTCAATATGCAGACATTTTTGGAAGCAGATTCAAATCAGGACGGGAAGATTGACAAATCTGAATGGCGAAGTTTTGTGGCTCGAAATCCTTCATTATTAAAGATAATGACACTTCCATATCTAAGGTATAGCATTTAATCACTCATATATGTTTGCACATTTAAAAGATGAGTTTAACTGACGTTCATCAACAGACGACAATATATAGATTTTTACACTATACAAGTCACATTTACCTAGACCTATTGCAATATATTTTAGGTCGCCTGATAGTGTATTTTTTTTTACTGTTACAAGAAGCTGTTTCTGCGGCTCGAACCCGTGACTTCTGGTCACATGGCAGTAACTTTACTCGTTACGCCAAGGCTCCCTTTCTTCGGTGTATATAAGCTAAACTCTTAAAAAAGATTGGACGAGGATGATATCGGCTGATGAGATTTATATATGTTTTAATGCAGGGATGTAACAACTACTTTTCCAAGTTTTGTATTTCATTCAGAAGTTGATGAAGTAGCAACTTGAGAATAGCCAAATGTAGTTCAGATTAGTTCTTTCTCCTCCACATTTTCTTTTGTATTTTCCCCCTAATATATTAAATGTATGTAAATTTGTTGGGGAAAATGCGAACGATATATCTAAATTGGGTGAGGAGGTTTTGTTAGCCTCCCTTTTTGTAAAGTGATTATACTTTTGCCAATTTGGCCGATTAATAGTGAGTTTAGATTGGCTTTTTGTTCTTATTTACAGAGATAATTGTTCCAAATCTGTGTAGATGATTGATTTTTCACAAGAAAACACATTTTATATTTATATGTAATAAATTTTTCACAAGAGTTGTCATCGAACACATTGCCTGTTTAGTTACTGAGTTCGCAATTAAATATTTATACATATGTAGTAAATTTTTTAATACAAATGCAAGGTCTAAGCAAAAGCTACTGGGTTTGCCCGAACCCGTATCTAGCAACCCACCTCTGTTCGCTTTGAGTCTAGGCACATACAACTTTAAAATAATCACTAAAGTTCTAAGTATTATTTCCATATATACGCAATATCTCTCCCTTGTTTTGTCAATGTGAGATTCACCTAGTATGTCACACAACCACCATCTTCTATTAGTGCCTACCTATAGTCGAATTGATCGTGGCATGTGCAGCATCCATGAATGATGGTTCATTAATGTCCATTGACTTAAAAAAAAAAGTGGTTTTTCAGCAGAAATAGCTTTTAAGCCAAAAAGCAATAAGTTAGGATTGTCCAGTTTCTTGCTTTTGGCTTAATTTAAGCAAATTTTTAACTTATTTTAAGCACTTTTTAACTTTGCCAAATACTAAAAAAACTTTAAAAAAACTTAAAAGCTGATTTGACCAGCTTAAAAGCCAATCCAAACATCCGCTTAGACTTCTTTGCTCGTCTCAACTACGAAAAAGATCAAAGGGGCCCCAAAGGTAAATTTTTTTTGATAACCTTGGTATTCGGGCTAGCTTTCGCGTACCTCGGCTAATTCCATTGGATACATATGACCTTCTACTAACAACAGGTTCCAGGTAACACTGTTCATCAAAGCTTGTACAGATGAGAATAAATCACCTAGTATTTCTGCCTCCGCTGAATTTGAACATGAGATTTCGTGATTCTTAACCCACTTTATTGACCACCAGGCCACCCATTCCCCATTCTTCCTCACATGACCATCTTGGTTTCTCAGCTATGGCTTGATATTAATGATTCATGGCATTCCTTTGAGTAAGAATTGAAAATAGTAGTGCTTTAAGTACAATTGTTAATGCCTCAAATTTATCCTATTTCCCAAGACCAGTTTAAATTTATATGGAAAAAAAATCAAATATTAGATATTAATTCTGTTAGAATAGGAGACAGTTTTTATTTCAAAAGGAATATGAGATTATATATTTTTGGCAGAATGGCCTAAATGATACATATACTTGTCACACTTTGTCATGTCGGTCCCCAAACTTCACTTGTTTTCATTCAGACACTTTAACTTGATCAAAAGCCTATATTTTAAGCCCCTCTGACCGTTGACCAAGCACATGTGGCAACAAAATGGTTGAGCTGGACAAAGTGGGTGTAATTCACGCGGACAACGAGCGTGCATATTAAAATTTTGAACGAGAAATAATTAAAATAAGAAGAAAAAAATTATTAAAATAAAAATAAAAAATAAATTAAAAAGATAAAGATAAAATAAGTCAAAAAAGAAAAAAAGCAAAAGAGATATCGTCTCTTTCAGTTCTTCCACGCAACCCCACCCACATTTAATTTCTTTTTCCTATTAACACCCCCCCCCCCCCGCACTCCACCCCACCCCACCCAACAAATACCGCACCCCTCCGTTTCCTCTTCCCTTTTCGATTATTTCCCCCTGTATACTTCTTCTTCTTCCCCGCCCCAACCCCCCTCCCCCCAAAACAACCCCGGCTCTTCCCTTTTCGATTTTTTCCCCTGTATGCTACTTCTTCTTCTTCCCCACTCCCCCGCTCGTCCCTTGCAAAAAAAAAAACTCAATCCCTAGAGTTTCCTTAAACATCTCTGTATTCCTATGGTGTCATTTTTTACTACTCTTGAATCCTGAACAAGTCAAAAATATACTAAAGGGGCAGCGGGTATTAATTTTTGAGCTAAACGAATAATGGACCATCGAACTTCTTCTCCGCCACCTAACGCCTTCAGCCATGGAAATGGACCACCGAACTTCTTCTCCCACTTTTCGATCTAGATTTTTTTTTTCCCTCGGTTCCTTTTCTTTACATATTTTAATATTATTTCTACAATATAAAAAGGGAAGAATTGGAAGGGGAAAGAAGGAAGAACACGAAGAGAGAGAAACAAGATGGGCAGGAGAAAGAACGTGAGGGGAGAGAGAAATCAATGAGGGTGGGGATTAGGGAATTAATGTTTGAATTTTATTTTTTATTTTTTTATTTTAATTATTTTTAATCTACCATGTGACATGGCATCTACACATTGTTATTTTTGACGTGGCAACCAATGTGGAGGAGATTGTATTACACGCACTGGCAGCCTCCTGTCATAAGCGTTTATTATACACGGTTTGAAGGAGTGTAAGGGTTCAATTGGCAAATTGTCAAGTTTGGGGACCGGCATGACAATGTAACATAAGTATAGGTGCCATTTAGGCTATTCTGCCTTCGTTTTATTATAGGAGTTCTATAAAAACTTACCCTTTTGATAGAGCAAAAAGAAGTTTGATGTTTTCAATTGGTTCCATAACTGAGCATGAAAACTAGTAGAGGATCGCAAAGTGATAACTTAACTTGCACGGCAATCAAAAGAGCATTTGATAGTGATATAATTTGGTTCCTTAACTCAATTACTAGGTCAGTTCAGTCGTTTCAAAGGAAGAAAACGAAGGCGAAATCAGGAAGGACCAAATTCAGTTACTATTTCTTTATGACTGATTGTCCAGGCCGACTAGGCACACCTCGACTAATCCATCGGATAGTATGCTACATCCTACACAGTATAGATGCTAGATAAATCCACCCGCCAAAGCCGGAGCAGATACACTCGCCGAAAATTAGACGAACCTGGGGCTGGGGTTGTCCGAGTTTGTTACTTTTATGCCTCAGTTATCTCCTTCGCGAGCCAAGGAGACATCAACAAACTCAAACCAATGAAATCATTGCAATTCTTTTTGCATTCCAAGAATAACATTTGGAAAGTTATTTCAGTTGTAAGTAAATGTCCAGGTGATACTATAGGTTAGTACGAACTTGCAAGATCATTACTGAGAAAAGGAAAGAGCAAAATTTTACATTTGAAACTGTGATCTATCCATACAACCATGTACACTTGGGTCAACTGAACTCTCACCTATGAGGAAGGTCCCTAGTCATTTGCAGCCAGCAATGGCCAAATCACCGGTCATTTTCTTTGATTAGCTATGTAGAAAGCATCATGAACAAGGCGAAAACAATGTTAGCAATATTAACTCTTAGTTGAGCATTGTTTACTACGAAAATCTTCAGATAGCAGTTTGTTCATTAGCTCATGCAACCTGTCGGCACCAGGACCAGGCCTAAACACCGAGTCATCTCCTACCACTGAGCAGGGATCAACTCCGTCAGCTGAGCTTCCATTACACCATGCTCCTGGTGCAAAACGGTTTATACGACCAAGCAACTCTTTATCAATCTTGTCTAAGACAGCATCATCCTTGCGAAATTTTCGAGCAAATGGTGCACTGCTATTAACCATTTTATTGAAGTCCTTCACTGTCAGTGAAATAGGATGCTGCTTGGGAGGGGTATCCCAAGCAATGTAATGCAGATCATGACCTATTGCAGTGCTACGGAACTCTTCGGAGTTGCAAATTACCGTGTGAAAATAGCCCTCTGGTGAAGAAACAAAATTTGTATAGTACATGAGCAGAGTTCTCGGAAAGTTATCCCATCCCCATATGCAGTACTCCACAAAAGAGCGAGTCAGTATCACCCATGCTGAGCCTAACCACCAAAAGTAGATTTCTGAGATATAAGCATGGGATGAATAGAAGTTGAAAAATGCATCCTGTTTCAATAATTTCAAAAAAGGGAGAAAACTATAAACTTGGGTTTGAAGAAAAATCCCGAGGCAAGAGGTCAAGTTCTCTTAGTAATGTAGAGTATAACATCACACGCAGAGCAGTAATAAAAATATAAGCAAAACAGAGAATCCAAAATTTGGTTTAAGAGTCTAGTCATTAGGTTCTCATATTTAAAAACTGAACAGAACTGGAAAAGACATAATCCATGTGACATTGGTTGGGCTCATTTCTGACTGCTTCATGAACTTACCCGTAAACAGTGTAAAAGCTGTAGGTAGTGATCGCCGTTGAGAAGTTGTGGCAATGTCAGATTTCTTAGACAAATAAAGACCAGGATCAATGATGATAGGTTTAGCTCTCTGGTTCCTACAATACAACATTAGAACCCACTTAACATTGCAAGTACTTTATGCACAAATAGAACGCATATCATGCCTGGGCACGTTAACTTAAAATTAAAAGCATATCATGCCTGGGCACGTTAAATTAAAATTAAACTCACTTACAGTTTCCACCCATGAAGCAGCATATTTTCAATGAAATTCAGATTTCTGGACAAATTAGAGAAAACATGGAGCAAATCTGCAACATTTAATAGCCAAATGAATCTCATTTTCCATGAATAAAAAAGGAGTGATCGAAGGAGCAAAAAAGTTCATAAATTACACAATGTCCTAGAACCTAACATTTTAAAAGATGTCCCAGAAACTAGCATTTATTATAAAAAGAAAAAAGAAATTAATGACCAAACAATGATTGCTGAGTGTGGCCCTTCCCCGGACCCTACGTGAATGCAGGATGCCTTGTTCACTGGGCTGCCTTTTTTTTTTGTCCTGAACTAACATTTACCATGAAATAAATTTTAATGACCAAACAATGAAATTCTTGATTTCTTTCATATGTATTCTTGATCAAGTACCTCCCAATCAAAAACTTCTTTCTGTAGATCTTTTGATTTGGAATGAACACCTAATGGTGGTTGAATTCGTTTTTGTGGACAAAATCAGTAATAAAGGAAATATTAGATCCTGAATCGCAAAAGGTATCATGAAGCTACAGATATTGCCATATCCATGAACATAAAGGGTTCATCTCAGCAGAGCATCTGATTCACATGTTACGCAATAGATAAGTCTATTCACATAGGACTACGTGGTGGCTGAAAGCATAAATAAGTGTGTGCATTGGAAAGAGTAAATTCATTCCAAAATCCAAATAGAAAAGCCCATTCCAAAAGACATACTTAAGACTGAAAATTGGATCCCAGTATAAGGAAACAACCATTTGTAATACTTGCTAATGTATCATTTCTAGCAATCTCTTTAATTTTTTCGCAGAAGGTTACAATGTCTGCATGGGACCTGCAATCTTCTTGTTAGCAAGTCCTGTCTTATGATAGGGTGAAGTGCATCAGCCCCTAATAATTTTGCATTGAACATATCTCCTTGCCCTTCTCTGGGCCCATCCTTCCACTCACCTTTCTATGAGCCACCCTATCCCACCCCCACCCCACCAAAAAAAAAAAAGCCTGGTCCCAGTTCTCCCCAACCTCCAACATGTGCTCCACTCTCTCTTTCCCCCTTGGGAGTCCAAAACACCACCTTATTCCCCCAATTTTCCATCTTTAAACCAATGCAAGCGCTATAATGGCCATGATGCAGGAACAATAGATTTGGCGAACTTACTAGTGGGGACAAAGAAATTGGGGGCAGTAAGGAAGAAAGGTTTTGCAGGAACTTGTAGTTTGGTATGGTAGAGGATGAGGATGGTTAGATGATAGAGCTGCGGAGGGGATGGGGAAAATGGTTAAAACCGAGAGGGGAAAAAGGACTCAAGGAAGTTTTCTCGTAATACTTAAACCACATAGAAGGATGAGTAATTTGGAGGGGAAAAAAAGACTCAAGGAAGTCTTATTACTGAACCAAGAAAACACATAGTTTCATGCTTGGCTCCCCCTATATTTTCTAGTTTACATATCCTCAAACCACAGCAATACTATTTAGGCCACATGTTTCATCTAAACATCTCAAAACTTTTAAAGCACATTTTTTGCTTCTGCATTATCTCCATAACATTTGATATTTTAACTATCTCTAGTCTAGAACTAGATATGAAGATTGAGATAATCTTAGGTCATGCTAAATAGTTTGGGAGTTTAGAGAAAAAACTTTCCCGTCCTTGACAGTCAACCTAGCAAACTTCTGAATGCTGCATTTTCTTATTATGTTTCTAGAACCAAAATAAAATATGTCCTCTTGTTCCCTGCTAGATGAAGTGTGATGATTTTTCGACTTCCCTCACATTATTTTCATAATGCTTTTTTCTTCCTTGGCGTATGTAACTATCTTGCTACTATTCAGCACCATTTGAAGAAGTCTTTTCTTATTATTTTCTAAAGATGTTACTAATTAATAGATTATTCCTTGCACTTGCCAGTATTTGTCATTTCCTCCACTAAACTGAAGGGCAAACTTGTTATGGTTATATAAGATTGTACCATGATTTGTTTTTATAGGTGTGCCTTATGCCATAAGTTGAACAGGATTTTTTCTATGTTCTTGTGAGGAAGGAAAACTGAGGAGGTCGGGAAAAGGACACAGACCAAAACATTGATACCAAAGGATCTGAAGTTCTAGATTTATTTAGTTTTAGATATTGGGATAATAGGAAGATCTAGTCATTTTGATTGGCTGAGTGGTAAGTCGAGGAAGATTTGCATTTGCTGGAATAGAGACAATTCGCTCAATGTGTTCACTAAAAATTGACATAAGAGAGAAATTGACTATCAAAGAGTAAATGAGAAATAGGAGAAGAAAAATATTGATTGCTATCAATTATTTTGGGTATAACCAAACTCATCCGCAAGTGCTTCAATAGAGGAACAAGCGCCTTTCTCGACAACAGTTCTATGCCGATCCTCAAAAGTTCATTTGATAGATATGTTTCATCTCAAATTGTATTTTCCCATCAGAAGTATGAATAGTTTTTTACAATTTATATGTCTAAGAGAGTAAACCCTCATGTGGACAAGAGTGTGACCTGGTGGTCAATGAAGTGGGTGAAGAACCATGAGGTCAGGTTCAAATCCTAACAAAGACCAAAAATACTAGGTAATTTCTCACCATCTCTCTAAGCCTTGGTGTGCAGAGTTGCCCAATACCTATACTGGTGGAGGTGGCAGGTACTAGTGGAATAGTCGAGATACCCGCAAGCTTAAACCGGACACCACCGTTATCCAAAAAAAAAAAGATAAAGTAACTCCTTGAATTTGTCTTTTTACTTATTTTATCACCTCCAACTATGTAATTCCAGCCCAATTTCGTCGATTATTGATATCTCAATCAATTTCCTCAGAACCCAAAGTTTTTTTAAATGATAAATAGTTCTAAATCAATCACAGACCATGATTTCTATACAATACAACTGAAAGGACCAAGAATAGCACCGCTCTTTCTTCCTATTTTTCTGTTTTAATGCTCCTATCACCTTCATCAAACTTCAGCGGCTCAGCTTCAGTTACTTTTCATACTTTGAGCCACAAGATCCAAGATTTTAAAGTTCAAAACCCCTACTTTGAGATGAAGCCATCATATGATCTATTTGGTTCAACAAGAGTAAGACCCTCACAATTGTCCACGTGACACAACTATAAGAGCCCGTTTGGATTGGCTTATTTTAAGTGTTTTTAAGCCAAAATGCTTTTAAGCCATTTTGTAGTGTTTGGACGAAATAAAAAAGTGCTTTTAAGCACTTGTTTTTAAGCTAAAATGACAAAAATAAGCCAAAAGCCAAAAGCTAGAATTCCTAACTTATGGCTTTTGGCTTAAAAGTTAGTGAAAACAAGCCCATCCAAATGGGCTCTAAGCCTATAACTAATGTCCACAAGGAAGAGCTTTTAAACATGATATGCAATCGACAAGCAAACTGACCCTGTCATGCAAGGTTGATACTCATCAGTTATTTTAAGCACCATGGATAATAACAACGTATAAGTACCATGTATCACCATGGATTGCCATTGGTAATCACTCTTGTGCTTAGACTGGTAAAGGAAAATATAGTTGAATTTGGCATGTTTCTTTGACCACATTAAAAATGGAGCTCAACCTATATATAAACGGATTTCTAGTTCCATTTTGTTCTAAAGTACAACAATTGCATCCTGGTGGTGATGGGCTTGCAAACCTATATATATATCTTTTTTTTTGATGGGTAAATAATATATTATATAAATATTTGCACTAAGCCAGTGCATCAGGTGTAATTATAGGTTGTGCAAATCAGTAATTGCGTCTAAAATATCATCTACATCTGGTACAAAAACCAGTTTGCACCAAAAAGTGATCAACAAAATGCAATTAGGTTTAAGACACTGTAAATTTCTTCTTAAATATTCATCATTTTGTTCTTGATTGTACTTATTAGTAACTCCATTCAATATAAACAAACCTGCCTGACTAAAGCAGAATATGAGAGAAAGTCTAAATGTGTCGTTACACTGGCTTTATTAATGAATATATACCTTACGGGATCAAAAGAATGGTTGTTGAGATATTTGGGAAGAGTATTCAGATGCAATGCCAAACCCATAATATCAAAAGATTTTAAGATATCTTGACATTTGTAATATCATAAATTTTGTCATTTAAGGAAGAAGAATCTTTTTGGATTAGGCCAATATGCAAGTGGATCAAGCACCAACAAACTAACGGATTCGTCAAGAAAATCAACTATATTCCATTTATTGATTTACCTTCCACTTCATCAATACAATTTGACTCTTACGTGCTAACCTACGAAGTACTACGAAACAAGTTCCTGAGAATGTCAGCCAGAGGGTAGGTTACCAGCAGTGATTATGCACTAGGAATAGTAGAATCTATTGAACTACTTATCAAAAGTAGAACTTGTCAATCTAAGCTCATTCATTCAATTTATTCTTCTACTCGTTTTTAGACACTCTCCAAAAGAGAGCTTTAAGCCATAGATGAAAAGCTTACTTGAAGGCCCCCCTAGAGAATGGGCACTTCCTTTGTAAGCTGGTGAAAAACATGCAACCCTAACTACAGTATAGTGTCTCGACACTGTAAAAATAATTCGGCCAAATATATCATGCTAAATCATCCTAAAGACAGAGTCCTAGATACGCTCTAATATATGGTAGTAATAAACAATGGAGTATCATGATCATGCATAGCAACGAATTTACCTAATATGCTAAGGCACTAATGAATATCTATCAATCACATCTGGTAAAACTATATAAATCGGTAATTATCAAATGTTGTTGTAAGGGTGAAGATGAAAGTTCAAAATATGTTGTAAGCTATATCTTTGGATATTGCTAGTCTATAGGAGGAAATATGTTGCAAAGGGACCTTCTAATAACTAAGTAAGAAATAAGCTAATAAAGAGAATACATAGAAATATATGATCGACAACCCATAGCATATGGAAGTAGCACACTTACCATCTTGAGTCACAAGCGGATAATCTGAAGCACTGAGATTGATAAACCAGTCCCACTTTGAACTTTCCTTCAGCAGAATGGATATAGCTTGAAGGGTACAAGCAATCATCGTAGGGCCCTTATACGTCACTAAATTTGACTGTGCCATTACACGAACATTCTCCACTTTGCGGAATATGGGATCATTCTTCACCGACATTGTTAAGTTCAACCTTTCTCGAGGTGGAGCCTCAAGATCCATATGTAGAACATACTGATTCCTTGGGTGATAAACCGCTTGCAAAGTCCTCATCATTCTGTGACTGTCACCCTTTGTGCCTGATATGAGATAAGCAAATCTAGGTGGTTCACTTTTCGCAAAGCCATTTGATTGAAATGACTGGAAATCAGATTCCACAAAATATCCATCCGATTCTGCTGGCCTAGCAAAAGAAGAAACCATATCCAATTGCATTTGATCTCTTCCATATGATGATGGATATAACCCAAAAATAGTTGCTGTGAACAGAGTAATAGACACAAGCAGGCTCACAAAGAATGGTATTTTCCAATATCTGTCGCCAAATACCCTTCCCGAGTGAGAATTCAAATTTTTATCATTAAATACTCTTCCTGAATAAGAATTGGCATATTTCCTCATGCTCAACAATTGCTTCCACCAAATATTTCAAGGGAAAAAGAAGCCAAATTTCATGAGTTGGAAGCAAAAAGATTCTAAAGACTTAAGCTTTTCGCTTTGATCTTCTCAAAGAAGAAGAAAGAAAGAAGAAAAGAATGGAACTTTAGCATCAAAGTGAAAAGGATGATATGAGGACTATTAGTAGAAATGGAGGTCAAATTCTATAGAAAGCACTGAAGCTCAAAAGCTTCCAAATTTCCACCGACTAAAAAGTAAAATTCTTGGTTTTAAGTTTTACTATCCAAAGCAAACTCATTCACAATGACCACTACAAGTAAAACCAACCAACCAATAAAAGGAATGTTAAAAATGAAAGGACAAAAAAAGTGAAACAACAATGTACGACTTGACTGTGGAGTATAGAAAAAGGGGGTAAAAAAAATGTATGAAAATAAATTCAAGCCTAAAAATCAGATATCCAACAAGCAATAAATAGATTTCCCAGCTCACCCTATTTCTCCTAAACCTTAGATCTAATAACCATTTGAGACAAGTTAGTTCAAGAAATTAACTTTGTGTCTATCTCAAAATAAACAAAACCTGAACAGAACATAAATCAAATAGGTGGCGATCTAACCAATAAAAGAAACTCAAAAACCCAAATGGGTTTGATTCAAAAACTAATCTTTTAACAGAAAAGTCCAAGAATTTGCAGAAAAAAAAGAATTGGGTTGAAATAATGGCAGCTAAAGTTTAAAGAACCCGTCTTTCTGAAAATAGCTCAATTAATCAGAACTTTCGAAAGGGGGGAAATACTCTTACAATACGCAATAAGAGAATGAATTTTATGTTGCAAGATTAGAGAGCTGAGCTGGGGGTTGAGGGCAGAGAGGGAGAGGTGACCGTACAGATTGCTTAAGTTGTAGGTAATGACCTAATCTTATACTAATTATACACTGGATTAGTACGGTATTATTGAAAAGACTGGTAATTTGGAGTTAAGAACAAGGAAGACATAGTTAAAGGAACTAAGCAAAAAGATATAAAGACACGCTTGGGTATTTATTACTGTTACGATATTGACTCGCGGCTTGTTTGGGTAACAAGATGACGGATAAATTAGGTAATCTATCTTATACGCAAGATTTTGGAGTTTCTAGCTTTGAACGTTGTATCCAATGTTGTGACTTGTTAGAAACTTGAGCTGAGACCACTACAACAAAAATTATAGCAAAAGAAATATTTTCAAAACTAATTTAAAAAACACTGGCAGCGAAAGTTATGGTGAAAATATTATGAAAAAGAAAAGTACTACCGGCAAAAATAGTAAAGATACCCAAATAAAAGAAATAATAGTAATAAATTTGAAGAATAAAATAATAATAGGATAATAATAATGATACTAACAAACATAAGATGGAGCAAATAAGGTGCTCTAAAGTATAACCAAGTTCTCTCACAGAAGATGACGCAAATAATAATACTGCTAATAATCGCTCGACTATTTACAAACCCTCTATCCTAATCTCCGGCCTCTAGATTTTCCTATCTATGATCATGTCCTTGGTGAACTAAAGATGTGTCATATCATGTCTAATTACCTTTCTCCCTATTCTTTCTCGATTTACCTCTAGCAATTACAGTGGAATAGATAAGTCTCTTAGGGGTCGTTTGGTAGGGTGCATAAGAATAATCTTGAATAGGATGTATTAGTAATGCTAGTATTAGTTATGCTTGCATTAGTTATGCTGGTATTAGTTATGCTGACATATTTCTTATCCATTGTTTGGTTTGATGTATTAAAGCATTGCACAATTTCTAAAAGAATTATTTGTTTACAAAAATGCCCTCAAAACCAGTCCATCACTCTAACTTTTTTAAAGAAACATATGTTGAGAAAAGTTTTTATATCAAAAAGTTTAAAAATAATTATTTGATTTGTCTACCTATATTGTAATATAGAACTAAATATTTATTTATAAAAAAGGAAATATATATGCTAAGCATTTATTTATTTACTAGAGATATAATTTTATTTCACTATTTGGATTATTTTATACTTGCATTAATATAATAACGAGCATATTTTAATCAAGCATAAATTTTGAAGGACAATTTTGTCTTTAACTAGGCTAATGCATGCATTAAAAGCCATTGTATTGCTAATACCATGGTTTTCTATGCATTAGTTATGCATAGGATAATACCAAATAGGATGTATAACTAATGCATAGGTTCAAAATGTCTACCAAACAAGGTATTATTAATATATAAAGCTAATGCATGCATTATTTTATCTAATGCATCCTACCAAACGACCATTGTCGCCCTTTATTAAAAGTTAGGAGCTGTAAAATAAAATAAAAAATCATGATTGAACGTACTTCTCCTTTTAACGTGCCGCAATTTGAATTAGTCAAGCCCCAAGATCAAATTTCGAGAACGAAAAAAATTTGAGCTGAGACTCTGTTTCCCTTGATTTTAACCTAATTGAAAATTTGAAATATTCAAGATTAAGCATATATCGGAGAGATGATTATGACAATTTGAAAACCTAAAGGAGCTATTAATGGTTGTCTCTTGTCACTTCTTAATTATTTTATTTTATATTTCCTCCGTTCACATTTACTTGTCCACTATTTACTTTGCACTTTCCTTAAGAAATAATAATTGAAGTGCATAATTTATCATGATACACATATTAATTGATGCATATTTTTAATAGATTTGAGAAAATGATTTGAAATGAGTAATTAATAATGTAAGTATAACAGGAAAAAAGAAAATGTCTACTTTTGATATGCTAAAAGTGACAAATAAAAGTGAAAATCTATTTTTAGAATACTGGACAAGTAAAAGTGAACGGAGAAAGTAAGTCCAAATAGCAAAATGAATAAAAACACCATGAGGAATCCAATTAGGGGTAATAAAACGCAATTATTGCTATTTGGATCCGGGCAACGTAATTTTTTTAGATGTTGCATATGAGTTAGTACTATGTAACCAATATATATATATATATATATATATATATATATATATATATATATATATATGTGTGTGTGTGTGTGTGTCTTACAATTGGTTAAACAATGTGTCTTGTTTTTTTTTTTTTTGATTTTTGAAGGGAAAAGATACTTATATTAATAATAATAATAATAACAGTAGCAAGCTAGGGTACGAGACCCATAGCATTGTCTTTAGTACATACTAGAGAAATGCCTTCTAAGGCACAGTCATTGCCTAATGCCGCTAGGTTACTACACACAATCATAGAACATGATCTAACATACATATGGCCATCCCGATCCTTGCAATAGGCATCCACTGCGAAGATAGGAGGTAAGACAAAATAACAAGGTTTATTATAATTAGGAGCCATTAGAGCTTCTTTTGCCAACTGGTGTGCTACCATGTTTCCTTCACGAAAAGCTATGCTTCATTGTGATCTCTCCTTGCTGCGTTGCCTTCCATTAACCACCTGCATTCATGAATTAAATCATTATTAGTAGGATAATCCTCATGAAGGAAGCGTATCACCTCTGTGACATCTGTTTCAACTTCAACTGAGAATATGTTTTCCTTGATAATTATTTGAAGTGCATGCCCTAGTGCTTGAAGTTCTGGCCGGATAGGTGATGTGTCTTGTTTTGGTTAATGTGAATTAGGGATAAAGTATCCAATGTAGGGCCAGCTCATAGATATTTGAGGCACCAATGAGATTTCATTCCACACTATTTTTGTCCAAGTTGAGAGTCTATGGATTGAGATCTCTATTGGAGGTTCGGCACAAAACCGACCTTGTCTAATCATAAACATAGTTGCCCATAAGTAGCCCCACACAGGATGTAATAACATGGATCTCTTGAATTAAATAATGTTGTTTATTTTTTTCGCTTTTGTGCTGTCTTCTGCTTTCCGTTATAAACATGCCACTCGGCGTGTCACGGACACGTATGTAAATGGTCCGATTAATCTGGTGGATTTCCATTGTATGGAAGATGTTTTTAAAAAGTTTTATATACGATAAGGGTGATATGTTCACATAGTATAACGGAGAATAGCTATGAACAATATAACAAAGTAAAGGAATATATTTGACCTTTTTCCCTTTTCAATTCTATAGTCTATCTCTTACCATTCTTTTCTACTTTCATTTTGCGCCAAGCAGTGGATATTGTCTCCACTTATATCAGCAAAGTAGGAAAAAGCAATGAGACATACTTAAGACCCAACTATGGGAGCAATGGGCCTATAGTACAAAGATTTCCCAAAAGATTTTGATGGCCCAAGTCATATTCTCACTGTACTCTTGAAAAGTTTAGAAAAATTGGCATCCTATAACAAATCATAATAGGAATTGGCTTTTTTTAGCCTTATATTAGGTTTGGCAAAGATAGTCCCAAACAATTGGCATTATATAGCCAAATTCTAAAAAAACCTACTTTCTTTTATACTCTCTCAAAAAAACCTACACGCTTATTTTGGCTTCCCTCCGCCTTTTTCTCCTTGTATTTCTTCTTCTATCTCTTCTCTTTTGCTCTCATAGTTTAGCAAAAATTCTTGCAAATTATGGAAAAAAAATCAATAGGATGAAAAGGTAAGGTTGATCTCACATCATAGAAAATCAGAAGCAAAAACTAAGAGAGAAAAAATATATTTCAACTTTGTTTTTCTTCTCTCATTTTTTTTGTTGGATTGAATGAGTGGGTGTGATTGAAATTGATTGAAAATACCTAAACGAGGCTATATACAAAATTTGAGCAAGATNTATATATATATATATATATATATATATATATATATATATATATATATATATGTGTGTGTGTGTGTGTGTATCCCTTTGAGTTACTAGAATACTAAATGGTGTGCATTGAGTCAGTTTTATTATAATTAATGCTACAATATGAATTTTTTAATATGTGTAAAAACACTCAAAATATAATTAAAGTGGACCAAAGAGTAGTTACTAAAGTAATACAATTTGAATTTTTGTATTACCACTAGTATTTAAGATGGGGTAGCAAGAAATTGAGACTGCATTTCATTTTTCATAGTAATGACAAAGAACTTTCACCAAACTTGAAATTTGATAATTTGTTTAGTCTAAAATATTGTTTTCTTGTACAAAGAAGTTCACCAAACTACAATTTGATCAAATTATAAAATAGGAATTGGCCATAATTATCTCGATAACATAAATTACAGTGTTGACTACCGTAGTTTTATTTTAAAGTTATACTCCTGAGAGATTCACCAAACTCTTCTTCCATTATACCTCATATCCAAACCAATCATATAAAATCAGTTTGAACTGTTTAGAAAATAATTGGCCTGACTCAAAATTAAAAAATAGTTTATGACGGAAATATCTTGTGGTCACTGACAATTTGAATAGAAAAAAATAATATTCTTAAATTTTTTGTGTGTTATTTTCAGTTTTCTTATGTGTAAAAATAAAATTTCTTGTAAAGAAACATAAAGCTAAAAATAAATCTCGGTGAAAATTATCCAGGACTATTTAAAGTGATAACTTTTATTTCCTCAACTAATATGGAATACTTAGACACGTCATGTTGGGTTATTTAAGCTATTTTAGCTTAAAAGAGGGTGAATGGGAAATGGGGGTGAAATATTTGAGTTTCCCTCGTTAACAAAGGGACATTTTCCCATATTGGAGGAGGAAAAGACTTTTGATGGGTATATATATAATTGCTCTTCTTTTAGCTCTTAAAGAGTTAAGACGAAGGCAAGCCTCGCGTCGTCGTCGTCGCTCGGCTTCGGATTTGGTCAAACGATTGATTGATTAAATTTTTTGACCAAATTTATTTGTTAATAGTAAATATTAACGTAATATTGTTAAATATCTGTTTTTTGTAACAGAAAATTAATATTAAATCCAAACTATCCGTTTCCTCTGCCCGTCCGTTTTTTGTAACGAAAAATAAAAGTTTCCTTTGCCCGTTTTAATTTGCGCAAATGGCCATTTACGTTATGGTTGTTTTACGTAACTGACCTCTGAAGAGTTACACCTCTTCGTTTGCACTCAACAGGTTGTGGCTATAAATTGCAGTCCATTCTCTCAGATTTTCCATACGAATTTTTAAATT